GAATACTGGGTTCCGTAGTACTGATACGCGCTACAGTGCCCCAGGCAGACCTGTGGTCGTTTGGTCAAATTGGCGGGAGGTCAAGGGTCCACAGAAGGGAGGAGACTACAATAGTGGGAAGGGACTGATATGGAAATATGGCCGGTGGTGTGTTAATGTGAGCACGTGCCGTCGGTGATATACGATGCGCACGGGGGTCCATGAGTACGGTTCGGCCAGTTCTACACGCTTCGGACAACTCGAGGGAAATTGCAACCCAATGTGTCGAATATAGCCAGCAACGCATCCACCTCGTAAAGGAGCTACCCATGTGCGCAGCGATTCAAGAACGCAAATTAACTCGACCACTACAAGTGCAACTGCACGCTTCTGGTATCACGCTCTCACTCGCCTCTGCGGACATGTCGTCAGAGGCAGCCTCCCGCACGAAAACGCGGCTGTCGGCGGGGTCGGAGTAGCACCCAAGGTAGGCGGGGTCGTCGTCGGGCTCCACGTCGTTCTCGTAGATATTCATGCTGTAGTAGCCTCCACAAATCCGGGAGGCGTCGCCCGAGCAAGACATGTCGCAAATACCGTCGAGATCGAGCTCGCTGATGTCGTCGATGGTATCACTGCACCAGCACTGTTGAACGCGGCGGCAACATCATCGAGGGGAGAGGGTGTAGCGACTACGAGGGAAGATGTTGATCATCGTAACGTGGTGGCCTCGACGTCTTGAAGGTTTGAACCCTGGTGGGTGTGGTTGAGGAATTGTGGTGTCAGACAAAAGCTTTCAAAAGGCTTGGGAAAACTAGAGACGGTAAAACCTGGCGTACGAAACGAGCCCACGGGGTGGTCTCGAGAGAAAGTGGGCATCCATCCAGCTGCCCGTGCATAGACCCAACAAGTATATCGCTCGCGTTTTTCTGAAGAACCGCCGATTCAAGTCATTCTGGGATATGGTACGGAACGGGTGGTGGCGGGTTCTAGTCAGCAAGCACGAGGTTCCTACCTACAGCAAAAGAGGGCTTGCGTGAGCTGACCCAAACCCACTACGCGGCGGTCTCGATCTTGGCCACAGTGGGGGTTGACGGTTGACCAGAACCGTCGAGTGAGGTTCTCGTCTACTGGATTTTTCCGATTTTAAGACGGCCTTGTCTGTTGGACAGTGATTCAATGCAACGCGTTACAGAGGAGGGAGGTGCTCCGGCGTGTATATTGCATGGATGTCTCATTGGCGCAATGAACGAAAGCAACAAGGCAAACATGGTCCAAGAAACCTCAGCGAACTGAAACGGCCAAAGAACGATAATGATTGTGAATTCCGCGCCACTCACAGGTACAGACAACGTTTTCCAAACCGCATCGAGGTCATACGAACCAAAGCTAGACCCTACGTACGACAACAGTTATCCAGTGCCTGGCGCCATCTAGCACCAGGATGGTGCACAGTATCCTCGATGCACGGCGCCGCACTTCTGTACCTCACACGCGATCACGGGTGTTACCTCGTCCGCATAATGCAATGCGTAGTACTGGTAGTCGGGGCAGAGCTCTTTGCAGACCTGTGGTAGTTCGGCCATAGAAGCGGGAAACAACGGTCGCCCAGCCGGGTGACAGAAAGAGGCGGCGAGAAATTCTTCGTCAGGGGGCGGCGTGCAAGTGTGCCTTAGGGCGGCGGTGGGTTTCGATGCCAACGCCTGTGACGTCGGCGTGTCAAACAAATACACGAAAAGAGCAAGATCAAGCAGAACACGGGCCCTGCATCATGGACACACGAAAATACAATCAGAACAACGTAGGCAAACAAAGCTGCCTCAAGTTGGTCTTCGACTGCTCGCTAACTCCGGGGTCATGTCATCTTGGACGGCTGCCCTAAAAGTGATATCGCGGTTGTCGGCCGGGACAACGTAGCACCCAAGAAACGAGGGATCGTTCGAGTAAATGGAGAGAGCGTACGACCCGCCACAAATCTCGTCAGAGTTGCCGGAGCAGGCCATGTCGCAGACGCCGGCACCGTTGTCGGCGTATCCCACGTTGTCACCGCACCAGCACTGTTTTGAAATGGCCATGTCGGGGGCAATGGGTGGTGTGAGGGGAATGCGCGGGTCTTGTTGTTGCCAGAGTGGCTTACGGAGTTCGGTTCTGCGCGGAAGGGGATGAGAAAGGTGGCTTTGGCGGGGGTGGAGGCGACAACGGTCGAATTATACACAAGAACTGCTTTCGGGCTGGATGTACAAGCGTGTTGCTGGTGGCGCGGCCACTGGCAGTTGCTGTCGAGGTAAAATGGGTCACTACAAATTTCCTGTCCGAGATAAGTATACCCAGGCGCCCATGTTGTTCAACAAGGGGAGCAGGTGCAAGGTTGTGGTGAAAGAGTGCGCTCCCCCAAGTAGGACCGTCCAGTCGGGCTATGGTGGGTACGATAGGTAACTCCGAGTTCATCCGTTGCGCCGATCGCAAGACGAACGTTCGAAGTCGTGAGGTGCGTCGGCTCGTCCCTGCAGGCGGTTACGTTGAGGCTGAAGGGGGGAACACCGGTTTCCCATGTTGCGCACCGCAAACTGCATGTTGGTGTGTCACGAGGCGAACAACAGTAGTAGGGTTGGCGGGGACTACGCGCCAAACTCGATCGCGTGGGGTAGCCAACGCAAAATGGTTGATACCATATTTTCCGTTGTTTACAGGTGCAAGCAAGGCACGGATATGTTTGGAGCGAAGGCAAGACTACGCACGTGACCCCGCATGGCCTATCCCAAAAACAACGGCACCATCCCATATATGGGTATCACGGTGTTGTGTGCTACCCAACTCTTGACCAGCACCTGAAATTCATGTCCGAAATATTGAAATCTTACCTCTGTCGAATACTGTGTCCCAAAGAAGGCCGACCTGGAGCAGAGCGCGGAACAGGCCTGTGTTCGGAGCGTCGTGCGTTTGGGTACAAATCGATAGTCCGCATAAGGGAGGGCGGGGGGCGCAATGACAAGAACATCTGCAGACAGAAATACCGAAGCACTGCATATATATATATTGCTGGAGTATATATCAGGATTCGGAAGGTTGTGCTTCCTGCACGACTACCAAATGACAGAACTACCACAAGAAGGTAACGCCCACAAGCTTACGTGCTGACAACGGAGTGCAACCAAGGATACGGACATGTCCAACCGTGCTTAGCCCATCGATCAGTCACTCACCTCTGCGGTCATATCCGAGGTAGATGCCCCCCACTCGAACACGCGGTTTTCGGCAGGGTCCGAGAAGCACCCGAGGTAAGATGAGCCATCGGACTGACCTGCTCCGGCAACAGTCACACGACGAGATGTCGCATGAACTCAGAAGAAACCTGGTCTCGAACTGTTCAACGTGCAAGCAAGGCACACCGTGTACGTAACATGCACCTCCCTGAGGCTGTACGTGGCAATTCGTCTACACGGGAAATTATGCCCCCACTCTAACCTATTCGCGAACGTGTAGTATTTGGAGGATGCGCCCCGGTCCTCGGGCTGTTCTATCTTTATCTTTGTTTCGTTGAAGGGTGCGGTGGATGAGGGACCACGGCGACAAGGGCAGGTTTGTTTAAGGCGTAGACAAAGGCGTAGACAAAACAAACCGAGCTTTATTGAAACAACTCGAATTGCCATACTGTTTATATTGGGGTACCCGGAACGCATTGCGTACTGCGGGGCCCCCTCGGTCGAGAGGAGGAGTCGCATATGTTACCATTCTGTTCAAGCCTTGTGTCCACAGAGTCTTAGCGTGCCAGAGAGGGAGTATCGCAGAGTCAACTAGCGAGGTGGTCACATAGAAGGCTTCTAGCGGTGTGCCAGCCTCTGGAGCTGACAGGAAGTGGAGTCTTTTCCCACCCACCCACCCCTTTTCTTTCGAAGGTGGGGAAAAGGAGAGGACGGATTAGTATCCGGTAGAACTTATAGCTGTATGTATGTGAGGCGAAGAAAATGGTAGGGTACCATTTTAGGGACTTGGTCATCTGAGACTACTGTGTGCAGTAAGATTGGTTCCCTCCACCGCAGGAGAGGGCACCCTCAGTTGCTGTTTGGAGGGAAGAGAGAGACAGTCTTTATTGGGAGAGAGGCAGAGGCACGATAGAAAGGCCGCAGAAACGTGTCTGCGGGAAATGTGCTCTCTGCCAGTTTGGTATCTCTCTCTTCCCTCGGGCGGTAGAAAATATTAATAGATGCAATTCGAAAGAAAACAATAAACCGCGTGACGTTTTGGTTGGACTAAAAAAAAATAGATTTCCATCGTCGATTTGGACTCTTGGCTGCTGGTAGGAAACCAACCAGCTTCCTCAGCAGCATCGGGGTATTGAAGCAGCTTCCCCCCGAGCGGCGTGATTCCTGCCCTGCTACGGGCCGATGCTTGTTGAGGCACATGGCGTGTTGTTGATGTTTCCGGAGAACTCGTGGACATCCAAAGAACGCTGAAACCGCCGTGTGCATGATCATCTGAGGGTAAACAATTTCCACGTGACTCCCGTAGCGACTGTAGTTCCAGACACTTTGACCCAGAGGGGGGTGGGCATACTCATGGTTTTCATGCCTTCGCCTTTAGACCATTGACCACGCGCGTCCTCGTGGAGACGGGGCATCGTTTCCACAAGACCGATCACCAATGGCCAATCGTTCCCCCCTACTTTTCCAACAATACTCAAAAGCGTTGTCCCTATCCTGTTCATCCGATCGATATCACTTCACGCCTTGTTCAGCCCCCTCCTATGCCCCAGTGTAGCTATCGTCTTCTCCTAGCTATTCCATCAATCCAATACCTCTCTGTAACTCCTGGCCATCTTTCCCAGCTCAGTCATGCACATCTCCCTCTCGTTTGCATCCCGCAACTACACGAAGTCGGTCTTCGCACCCGGAGCCCCACATACACGTGATTTCGTCGTCGTCTTCGTCTACCTGCCTAAATCTTCGTTGAAGTTATCGAAGGCCAATTTCTCTAGTCCTCAACGTACCTTCAGCATTGTCCCTACATCTATTGTTTCATGTACTGTAGGAGCTCCTTGAACCCTATGTTTTTTCAAAATTCCGTACACATCTAGACCCTCCATAAGCTTGGTTTCCTTGAAAAAATTATGCCGTTTTTTCTCTCTGTAAGAGAAACATTCATCGCCTTCTTAAACCCCTCTACGCGGAAGGCCTACCAACGTGTCAGCCTCGTCAATTTCGAAGCCCTCCCAACATCCAAAACCTTTGACCACTCTGTGATTGAAGTTGACGCAGGGTTGGGGGGGTCAGTTGTCTATCCTACAGTTATATGTCCTTCGGCTCATACCCGGGCGAGCCCGACTTTGCGCGTCAAGAATGGTTCGTTCGAAGCAAGGTACATCTGCCCGTCGACTTTTCCCCGTAATCGGTACACCATCACGTTCGATACACTGGTTATGCACAGTCGCCGAAAAAGTGGGGTCGGCGGCCTCAACTAATAACGAAACCCATGCCTGACTTCAGGAAAATATCCATGATGAACGCACTGAGATACTGTATCATGATACTGCTGTCCGAAGATTCAGTGAACGATTACCTTGTCCGTGTACAATCTAACTTTCTCACCATTGGCGACCCCGAGAAGGAGCATCGGTAGCGCCGTCGAAAGGAGGTGCATGTTGTCTTCGAGATTGCTGGGGATGTTGATCCCTGATGAAAAGACCAAGGCCATCGTACGTCCGGCACACGAGAGAAGGTTAGTGGGGATCTGCTGATTTTCTGAGTTGATTCGGTGTTCATTGATTTTTTAGTTTGTATTGTTCCAGGGCGTTCCAACTATCCGGTGGTCAGCGGAGACCCTCTGGGGTGTGAACTCTAGGACCGAAGCCCACCATCTCACAGGACATACGGTGGAACCGCATATATATACAACCCTGATACCCTATGAAACAGGAGATACTGCTCCATTTTTTGGGGTCGTAAAGATTACCTACGGCATGCATAGCATCGGTGAAATACCCCGACATTCTCGCGGTGTCAGTCTTCGGGATATCATGAGCACGGCTGTTGCGTGCTCTCTACACAGCGTATCATGTCCGCGCGAGGTAAGCTCCTATGCGAACTTGGCAGGGCAAACCCAAATCAGGGGTGTAAAGGGCTCGTGGCAGACGTCGAGGTACAGTGTATACATCAGTAGCTACAGCAGTGGTAGGTCATCCGGTGCACATGGGATGCACAGGAGTGTAATCACCGGCACAACAACCAACAAACAAGCCTGCGAGTTGCTGTGAGAGCAACTTGAAAAATCATCTTCAACAGATGTGGAGGTGACTTTAAATATTGCGCACAGAGAGGCAGCAGGATCCAAGAAGCAATCAAATAAATGAATGGTGCCGCACATGTGTAGTAAACACGCTCAACCTGACACACTCAACCATTACAAGAATCAACAACACTCACACAGCTTCTTTGGCAGCCGTCTCCGGGCGTGCAGAGTGAGAGTGTGGTGGTGGACGAAGAGAGAAGCGGGGGCACACTGGTGGGCGACAGAACGGCTAAATAGATTTCTCAGAACAGATGCACGCAATCAAAGCGTTCACACGACACACCTCACATCCTCGGGGCAGTTGTGTGCGCTTTACGTCCATTTTCTTGTGGTACAGACAAGCAGGACCCAAAATCTTGTGATAGACGGGATAATAACAAATTTGACCTTGTGATAGACGTGGCGGGATAACAAATTTGTAGCGCCGCGTTGATTGGGTAGAATCCACCGTCCCGAGATGGCTACAGCAGTGGTGTGGTTGGTCTGTCTGCTGTTTGCGACGTCTGTCTGCGGGGCGCCGCTTACCGATAGGCCATGTGGCCGTCCGTGCGTCGAGCGCCGAGGTTGTCCTACGTTGCCGATATAATTGTTAACCCAGAGGACCGATGCAGATGATATATCATGTTATACTAGGGTTAAGTATTGGCCCCCCGCCCCCCAATGGGGCTGGGGGCCAACATCCAGGAAGGATGGTGGTGAGTGTCCGGGAGGAAGGAAGGAAGAAGAAGAAGAAAAAGGGGAGAGGATTTGTAGGTGCGGGAAGAAGGGACGGTGTTGGGAGAGGCAAGGAAGGAAGTGGTGAAGAGTTTCGGCACTCGACGAGCGCGCGGTCCCGTTGGGGGTGAAAGGGACATGTCAGTCCGTAGTCTTGTCTATCGGAATCGAAAAGCCGAAAAACCGAGGTATACATTATGTATGTACATAACGATGGAGAAGGCCGACGAGGAAGGTACGAAGAGAGGAAATTGCACCCCACGTTCGAAGTTCGAAGTCCGTGTGAAAACCGCGGCAAGGAAGGAGTGCGAAGGAACAAAAAAAAAAAAAGCAGACGTCCACGTTTGCGTCGTGGAACGATCCTTCCGTATAACGCAGGTACTCACCAATGCAAGACGGGGAGGAGGTAAAATACCCATCGTGAAAGTCAAAGCGCAGGTCATAACCAACCGCATATATATGACTCATGCGCGGAGAAGTTACCACGGAGACTTATCAACAAGAAGTTTGAAGGCCGACTGAGAAGGTTTCAAGACACAAATACTTAAGCGACGATGGCAAGCGCAACGTCAAAACTTCACAAGAAGAAAAGTGCATACTGGTACAAAAAATGAGAAGGCCGGATGCCGACCTATGGCTCTCTCGGAATGTAGGGATCACAATTTCCAACAGGTATAATCCACAAGCAAGTACGGACATTACATACATATGAAGGTACTGGTTAGAGAGAGATCGGAACGGTTTTTCATGTGAAGACACAACAACAACACAACAATGATGAAGGTCGAACCGTCCTGCGTCGTTCGGTGTAAAATGATAAAAACTAAAGATGGATATTATTGCGTAAAAATCCAGCGGTCTTTTTCGGCAATGGCAAAGAAATATGCAACCATGTTGGATGTACTCACAGCATCAACAGATTATTGCGAGCAAGAATTTCCCGAGCAGATGGAGCGGGGAGTTTGGGGGTTCAATGGTTGCTATGGATTAGATTTGGTGGTACCAACTTTATCACATATTGCAGGTTTGAGGGTATGGGTGTCTACAACGGAATTTGTGTGCGTGGCTTGTGGTTCCTCACTTCCTTTTTCTGTGTATAATCAAGTCCTTTTTCCGGCTCTCACGCCAACCCCGGCTTCCACGCCCATACTCCGGCTATCACGCCAACCCGGCTTCCACGCCTTCAGGACTCCCACGTCCCTACATATACCTTTAC